GTCGGCAGCTTTTTTTTCGGTTGTTTAACACCAAGTATTTTCTATAAATCACTCAGTGACCTTGAGCTTTCTTACCATAATTACAGAATACATGCAAAATCGAAATAATGCCTAAATAACTTAAGTATTTTGTACGACATAGGAATTGAATCCAAAAGTTTTTCTCCACAGTCAATGAACTACTCCGCCAATGACGCAAATATTTTATTATAGAAATTTGCTAACAAATAGGTGCATGATCTGTTCGGGGTCGTGGTTAGTTCGCTAAGCTTCTCAACCGTCTGGTGAAGTAGGTAACACAATTGTAGCAAGTAGGCACTACTAGGAATTATGATAATGGATAGAGGAGGAGTCAAAGAATACTAGTGGCAAGTTGTGCGGCTTTTGCTTATTCGCTAAATTAGAGAACACATGTTTTTGTTTTCGTTTGTGATTTTAGTTTACAAAAAAATAAAAGGTGGCAGTTATAGCATGGGACTATCGTAGCGTGGAGCCATCGTAGCATAGGACTATCCTTGCATATGGGGCTCTTGTAGTTTTTTTTTAATTCAATTGGTCGGCAAACGAGCAGACTGATGGTAAGCAATCAGCGCCGCCCATGGACACTCGTAACGGAGGAGTTACGAGTGCGTTGCCGACCTTTACGGATTAGGGATTTCAAGATTTAGGGATTTAGGAGGGATTGGGATATACTATCTATAGTGATAGACTAACGGATTATCGGAACACGAGAGTATAGTAGATGGGAGTTTTATAGTATGGGGCTTTTGTAGTATGGAGTTATATAGCATTTTGTAAGGCTTTTCATAGTAACTATCTCTCGTAGAATGAAAGAAAGAAAGAAAGAAAACTGTTTTTATTCGGACTGAGACATGAAGGCCAAGAACAAACAAAATAAAAATACAACAATAAATAAAGTAGTGATAGGCAAATGTCGTAGCTCAGATCTCTTAGTATGGGCTATTGTGAAATGGAGATGTGCGTGGGTCTTTCGTAGCATGTACTCGTAACTATCGTAGCGTAAAGCTATTATAGCATGAGTGTATCCTAGCTTACGGCTATCGTAGCTTGGGACTATCATACCACGCGGACTTTGCGGCGTGTGGCTATCGTAGCGGTGGGTTGTCGTAACAAGGTGTTACTGGAGCATGGGCTAACGTAATGATAGGCTAACGTAGCATGACATTCTCGTAGTACAGGTCTTTCAAAGCATGCGGCTATCGTAGCATAGGGCTGTCGTAGGTACCATAAGTTGGCTATAACCCAAAGGAGATAGAATATGAGAGTTTTTAGCCTGTCGTTGCTGATCTAGCAATGTCGTTGGTAAGATCTGTCGTACCTAAGGACTGTCGTAGCTAAGGACTCGTAGTTTAAGATTGTCGTAGCATAGGACTGTCGTGGCATAGAACTGGCGTAGCTTAAACCTGTCGTAGCTAAGTTCTGTCGTAGCATAGGACTGTCGTAACATAGGAGTGTCGTAGCATAGGCCTGTCGTAGCATAGGATTGTCGTAGGATAGGATTGTCGTAGCATAGGACTGTCGTAGCATAGGACTGCCGTAGCATAGGACTGTCGTAGCATAGGACTGTCGTAGCATAGGACTGTCGTAGCATAGGCCTGTCGTAGCATAGGACTGTCGTAGCATAGGAGTGTCGTAGCATAGGCCTGTCGTAGCATAGGACTGTCGCAGCATAGGACTGTCGTAGCATAGGAGTGTCGTAGCATAGGAGTGTCGTAGCATACGAGTGTCGTAGCATACGAGTGTCGTAGCATAGGAGTGTCGTAGCATAGGCCTGTCGTAGCATAGGAGTGTCGTAGCATAGGAGTGTCGTAGCATAGGCCTGTCGTAGCATAGGAGTGTCGTAGCATAGGAGTGTCGTAGCATAGGCCTGTCGTAGCATAGGATTGTCGTAGCATCATCATAGTCTTTTACTGTTCTGTAAGGTGCTGTCGTAGACTTCAGTGATATACTAGAAACTGTACAATAGGTTCTACGGGGTCGCCATTGGCAACGTGCGTCGAGTAGGATAGAAAAATTAAACACATTTGTTTTAACTTGACATTTATTTACATTCATATCAACAAAACGGGTGTTTGTATAAAACAGTTCTTTTATAATTTTCCATACCAATTTTATATCTAGTGTGGTGCCGCGAGAATGTAAAAATAATTTATATTTTCTTGCTTCAATTTAAGGTAGTATGCTGTTTAAATACCGTGACTCGATATAAACTATCAAGCTTATCTTTGCCTTATATAAAGTATACAATAGAAAGAAAGAAAAAAACAATAAATTGCATAATGTGCCCAGATTCTATGTTGTTATAAAATGAATAGTCAACATTCAAATGTGCAAGTTAATTTTCAAATTTGGAACCTAGGTTACAAAATATTAAATAAAAAAAAGAAATTGAAAATACGTAGATATTTTCGAAGTCTAATAAAGTCGGCTAAGCTCACATTCAAGGTTTATTTCTCATTACAAATTAATGTAAGTAAGTAGATAAAGAAGTACCTAAGTAGGTGTAAGAATCTGGGTATAAATAATTAATTTATAGATTTTCATAGTACATGAGACGCATCAGTGATCATTTCAATCCTCCACATTTTTTTTACAAAAACTTACGTCACAAAAAATGACTTCTAGTTTTTTTTTATAAAATTTGCGAGGAATAATGCGTCGCATGGTCTCAGCAAGAAATTCATCAAACAAATCATTATTCTTTGACATAATCAGGTTTTTACATAATAACTATTAGTTTTATAGGTAAATAAATTTGTTAAGCATCAGGCGACATTTATATAAAATGCTTAGAAAAAATGTCGAGCTTGAAAATAAGCTTATGGCATTTGATCGGTAACATTACAGGCTTTTGACGACAGTAACCGTCAAGGTGCATCGACATCGAACCAATCGCATATCATAGACCAATGCTCTCGTGTGTCTACGAATTATCCTTAGAGGTTGAAAAGTGACATCTAACTTGTGACACGTGCGACGCACGGTCCGAAGTGTCGATAGAAGCAAGCTGTTGGTAACAAGAGTCACCATCGGTACTTAAATCTCAAATAAAGATGCCTTTAAAGTTTAAGCATTTTCCAATCATTTGGTGGTACAAAACTTAGGCAATAGCAACAATAAGGTTCCCCGTCAAACACCTAGAAAATTGTAGGTAAAAAATTCTATTCACAATATTTTTGACGTCTATCTAGATCACACGTTGGGGGCTCGCTAATATTATTCGTGGGAGTGCAGACTGCGAAAGCAATGCGTTTACTTAAACGTATTTACTTACTATTTACACGATTCGAAAGTCTCGACACTGAGAGTCCCGAAAAAATAAGTTAGCAACACTACATAACAGTCCCACCAATAATATCGACGCACCTTTAGTAGGAGACTAAACGAATGTTCGTGTCGAGGATCGTAGCTCCATTTACTCTACATATTCCCAATGTCCACTTTTAACAATACGTACATGCCTTTATAATAATTTATTTACCTTAACAACAAGAAAATAACATTTGCAAGACGAAGAAAATAGATGTTTACAGTGTCGACTAATGAACTTACTAAAAGGAATCACAAGACAAAAATTGTATCACTGTAACATCTAAGAAGGAAACTTATTCAGTCTAGGTATTGTCTTTCATTAGACATCAAAAACGTTGACTAAATTAAACTAAATAATATAGACCCATCTTGATAAACTTTTTGTATAATAATAATAATTAATAATACTCAACTAAATTTAATTAAGTTATAATATTGATGCTCTCTCTACACCAGTACTTTTAGAAAGAAAAAAAAAACAAATGATTAGTGATGCGCAAAGTAAGAATAAGTGATTAAGAACAATGTTCCTGCGTAACAGCAGTTCGTTTGGTCTGTGCCGAATAAATTAAGGGACGTAATGTCTCTCGCGTCTTGCTAACTTCGCCTTGATGCAAGACTGACTTTGTACATCACTAATTACATCTAAAGAAATCCACATTCATAGATTTTAAGATTGGTCGTAGCTCTTTTTGAAATCAAACGCATTGGCACAAGTTATTAACAAAAATAATTAAATCGATTGACATAAACTTAATTATTTTCATAAACGAATAGAAATACAAAATAAATATTCAGTGTTCCCCCAAGTGATAAATTAATTCCCTTATTTCTCACCTATTGAGCGTTTTTATAACATTATAAATGGTCGTATTCAAGAAATAAACATAATTAATACTTAATTTAATAGCTAATTTAATAATAGAAGGTAAACATTTTATATTAGCGGGCAGTGTCGCGGGTAAATATCGGTAATAATTTTATTATAATGTTCAGACGAGTTGTTCGATTGATGTCACAGTTTCAAGTACAACAAACAGTTGCACAAGTAGAAGTTTACTTATCTTATTAAAGATTTTTCGAAATTCATTTCGACAGGTGTCAAAATGTCAAAACGCACAATGTCATGCTTAAGGTGTTTTTCCACTATAAATCTTAATTTTTCTTGTCATTCTATTGATCGAATAGATATTTCCCCGTGACTGAATACCCGCTAATATTACAAAAATATGAAACAATCAAAATGTGCCAGTGACTATTATAGGTAAATAGTGACGAACAGTATTTAATAGAAACACATTTCAAGAAGTAGAATGAAATACCAAAAACTTACATACGAAAATATTTCTATAATTAAATACTTATTACGCTAACAAAAATTTTTGACTAAAGGGCCAGTGTTCGATGTGTTATAAATTGTTAAAATAGTTGTTGACTGTGGTAAAGTATTACATTAATTACACAAAACAAGCACAATAGTAGGTTAAGTAATGCCTGACAGATATTTCAAATATTACAGAATTTTATTTATGTAAATTATACTTTAGTGTTGCCGTCCGTTCGACACAGAATTCGAAATATGAATATTGTGCGAAGTAACGGAAAAGTCGCTTAGATTTACCTATTCGCGTAAATTTTGATCTTATCTAGAAAGGAGTAAACTTATATTTAAAATTTTCCTTGTGTATTTTGGTCGTAAAGTGATAATTAAAACTTATTAATTATATTTGAAGGTATATATTCCACTGATAAATTGGCAAATAAATAGAAAATTATGTACGAATTTCTGAAATATTTGAAGCACCTTTTCGTCAGGCTGTTAGTTGACGGACGGGACATAGATAGGATCCACGCACGTCCACGTTAAGTACACTATTTGAGAACAAGTAATGTAAATAATAAATACACTGATCACTTTGAGATCACTTCGTTAATCTAAACACTTAAAATTTTAAACGAACAAAAGTTGACTGAAAAACTGACAATGGCCACAATAATTAGGTATAGGTATTATTTTACAATTAACTATCAAGTTGGTAACATAAAATAAAAGAAAATAAAATAACTGTAACAATAATAAACATTAATATAATAATAAGTAATTGTTCTAATGAACTTAACGGTGTATATAAGCAAAATACTAATCGGTATTCGGTACCTCGATACCGACCGAGACTTTGGACAATGACAATTACATCTTTGTGTATGAATAAACAATTTTCTCGCCAGTTTTATTATGATTGTGTAGACATAATATGGTAATCATTCAAAATCACCAGCTCTTTGGCGCTTGCGAAATGTATCGATCCTTTAACTTATGCTTAATGTGACTAAAACTTAAATGTTAAGAAAATAATAATTATAATAATATAATAAACAATTTGGGGAATACTTTGGAAACGATAAATCCTTTGACACAAACCTTAACGTTATTCTTATTTAGTTAACAACTGTGCACGTGGACTCGACCGTTCATTTATTAGCGTACCTTACCAAACAAGTCAGTTCAAGTGCACGGGATACATCACAACAAACGTTCGGAATCTTACAACCTCTTTGCAAAGTTTCTTTTTACTCTTTTTTTTGAAAATTCACTAGGAACGAGTTCTGGAATATTTAATACGGTCTCGATAGTTCTTTAGAACGTTTCAATTGAACTTTGAGTCTCTTTGTACCTATTTGGAAACCGTTCATGGCTTGTATGGCGGCCTGCGCAGACGCCGCGTTGTCATACGAGACAAAACCGAAGCACTTTGACAGGTTCGTCTGTTTGTCTATGAACACTTTAGCCGATATCACGTGGCCGAACGGCAGGAAAGTGGACGCGAGGTCCGTGTCGGTGAACTCCTGAGGCAGGTGGTAAATAAACAGGTTCCCGCCTTCAGGACCTGTTGAACAAATTTCAGATACAAGTTTAGTTACTAAAAAGCTGAAAACATTGAAAATTAATTAGTAGAATGTGATGTAGTACAAGTCGTTAGAACAACACACGTACAATACGTATCTTGGCGAGTCTGAAGTTAGCCGATTAGCTGCGCAGTACACAATTTTGTTCCTAAAAGAACCATTGCGCAGACAAACGGTTAACTTCAGACTCGCCAAGACACGTCGGCCGTACTGTATGTAGATAACAAATAATCTCGAGTTCCTGACACAAATCATCGACAAATGTATTTTTGCAACATCTCGTTACTGGCAAGTAAATAAAAAATTAAAAAAAGATTTCATACAAAAAGTATTCATGCTTCACGTTCATTCCAGAAAGAAATCGGTGAATCACGATCTTGGTAATCGGACACCGACTTTTAATTCGTCGATTTCTTTTGAAAACAGCTGTTAAGTTTCCGCCCAGAATAGGTTACCCAAATTCATGTCGTGGAAGTAGTAAATCGTTATTGTGAGGGTAAATATCCGGTGGATGGTAAATATTTGTGCATTATTACTGTACTGAGATCAAAAGTTTGGTGGATAAAGTCAATGATGACTCGTGTCTTATAGGTATGAAATGGATCATCATAAACAGCTATGGGTATACACATGTCGCATCCAACACTCTTAATTAGTCATTCAACTAACGGACTGTTTCTCTAGCCGTTTGACTGAATGGCTGAATTTCTTATTCAGGTCACTTGAAGGAATTGCAATTTAAACCGAGTTGCTACCAGTGTGATAGGTTAGGCTGCAACTGCGATTTGGATAGGAATGGAAGGGCCATCAGAAATGAACAGCTATCGGAGTTGTACTGCGATGTCATTTAATTAACAGACTAGACCGCTAGTTGAATGACTTACTCAGCCAGTTGGCTGTGACAAATAATAGGAGTCTAACGTTTTTGTACTTATAAAATAAAAATGTACAGTCACTTCCAGCTAAAATAAATATAACCAAACAGAATAAAAATCTATGGATTGAGATTGGATTATGAAAAAGTTTTATTGTACTATAGTATTCCAAAATCAGAGATTGATTTAGAAATTTTGAATAAAGAACGGTTATTAACTTCAATCATAATCATTGATTTATTTATTCGTATTCGGTATTTAGAAAATTATTTCATCCTAGTAGGACGAAATAATTTTCAAAAATAGATTTGCATTTAATACAGATCTGTTTCATCCCTCAAAGAACTTCTAATGTTGCAATTCAGTTCATTCTGTGCAAAGTTTTTGCGTTGAGACTCTCGTGACAGAGGTTAACTTTTTTATAATAATTGGAAATGTCTCTGGCAAAAGCAGATAAAAAACAATGTAGACCTACTTAGCGTTTGGAACAGGAAATTGGCGATTAGCCAAAGTTTGGCGCATGATCAAAAATTTATGGGCGACCTAATCGTGCATGTTTTAAGTCATTCGCGTATTGATACGTATTCTTTATCACGCGAGGCACTGAACCTATGCCTCTCTTAGTAAACTTATGATAAAACGGCAAAATTACACAAAGCTGAACAGATCTCTGCTATAGAGGGAATAATTTTACTTGGTCCAAGAGAATTTGTACTTCCAAAGCTCTTAAATTAACATATTTTACGACACCCAGGGGAATTGACCAAAAGGGTAAAGCACCAGGCTACTTTTGGAAGGCAATTTACCTGCGCTTTCGGCAACTTAAACGATTTACACAGATACATGATAAAAGTATTCGTTTTGATGATCAATTATGGTCTTTAACGTTAGAGTAACATGTGTGCTTTTACCTTGAGGCCGCCTGAAAGGTGCTGGCTTATTATACACTTACCAGCAAAATAAAGATTACCCGTACCTTCAACCTGCTTCCCAGCGGCTGCGGCGGCAGCAGACCCTAACACTGATCCTAATGGAGCGGCTGCGAAAGCTGTGCCGAATTGCGCGGCGTAAGCCGAGCTTAGAGGCTCAGCTGTGGACCCTGGAAATTTATAATATCATTATTAAATGTTTTCACAATTGATATTTGTAAGTGGGAAGTTTGAGTCGCGAACGTGGGGCCTTATCTTCGTAATTATATATAATTTTTGTAGCAGCAGCTGGCCAGACATATCTACAATTTTTTTAAAAACTTATAGATTTTTATATTTGTTTTTGTTGATGTCAACACACTTATTTTTAGAGAAGTAAAAATGGACTGTCCGTCAGAAAGTCATTAGAAGATGTCATCGTAAGCAGGTACTTAATTAATATCTTTTGATTTATAATTTCTGAAAGTATCACGTTAAGTGGCTTATTAACATGAAATTATATTTAACGGATACATTAAAATCCCTTACGAATCATAAGTTTAACGAAACTACTTCAATCAAAAAACTTTCTTTCTGTTACATGACAGAGAGTAAAACATCTACTTATTTACAAAATTTTAAAACTACTGATCTAAAAATCTACCAAAAAAGTTATAAAAGTAGATACTGAAGAATAAGAAAAACTAAATATCAGGCAAAGTATAGAAGTACCTAAAATTACGATTACGAAACGAGGTTATATATTTAATTGTTAAAGTCGCTGTCAAATTACGCTACAAAAAATATACACCTTAGTTTAATAGCTATTTATGCTATTAATAAACGTTAAGGTTTAGACCAGCTGAATTTATTCTGAACATAAACTGGCAAAGGATTACGTTTAAAACGTCAAAAACATTACTCATTAACTTTGTTAAACTGTAACGTTTAGTCACTGCTTTTGAAATTTTCCTTGCCCCTAAGTAACCGTTGCCTAAAATTATTTATGGTCGGATTAATAGTACACGGACTATACAATAAAAAGTTAGGGCAAAGGTAATTCATGTAATGCCAAAACTGTCAAATAGAACAAAAAAATAAATACATCTACACATACAAACACTGCATGCCATAGACAGTGTCATACAATATTAGTAATCATTCACACAGATAAAATACAAAAAGGAAAACATTAACATCACGCTCACGAAAATCTCATAAAAATAAGAATAAAATGTATTTTTTAGCACTTTCATGCAGAAACAATCAAATTGTTAATTTTTACATTCAGTAACTACTCATCTGCATTGCAGTTATTTACTACTTATTTACAAAATAATGAATATGATTACTTATGCATTTAAAACAAAAGTTACAATAATTTCCAAAAATGGCGAATTTATAAAAAAAATGGTTCGATGAACATATTCGATTGTAATATTCATGTTGACGACGTATTTGATGCGAATATAGTCATTTATATTCACGTTTATGATTGTGCTAATTATAAATCAGCCACATTTATTATTACCGCTCTAATTAAAAACTCCAATCAGAGGAAAATGTGGTCATAAATACAACATTGATGTTTCGATATACCAAAATAAAAACATCTAATAATAACTTAACAAAATTCCCAGTAGATAAGAAAATTTAATAATAGAATAAATGCGAGAATTTACATTTTCTAATGGTATTTATTTAACGATTGTATTGATTTGTAGAGGTTAGCTTTTGCAAAGCAAGCAATGGTAGACAATTCTACCTGTACAATGCCAACATAGAATCATACCAGGCGAGAACTAGATTCATGTGATAAATGATGCACATCTACCATTATACTTGAAACAAAGTCTGCAGCCTTGGCTGTCAAGTAAACAGTCTGTTTTTCACATTACAATAGTCAGCTTCAAGGTATAGGTATTCTGCGGTAAAACAATAAAATATCTATACAGTTGAAGTTCGTTTCCAAGTATAATTTATGCAAACGCTAGAACATTGTCGTGTTTAAAAAATGACCTATGACAGCGTTGTAATATTTCGTAATATTATTTACATAGTAATTTTAAAATTGGAACTGGTTGAAATGTTTGCAATTTTATTTCAAAATAAGTTTTTTTATCTGAATTAAATATTATTTTATACTCATTTATCACAAGAATCTACGAATAAAGCTAAAAAAATCATTCCATGATAAAAACACACACACAATCATGTCGTTTTTATTTCATTGCATGTTTACCTGTGATGTTAGTCTTCCCGAGAAGACCTGAAGTGTGAAAAATGTTCATCGTTAATTAACTTTTTTTTTTAAACTTTAAGTCGAAACGAAACCTGAAAGAGGAAAGTTTTGCGGACAAAAAGATCGTTAAATGTTTTCTTTTTTAATGTTAGTTCAACTAGGCTGAATAGTAATTGTCTTATGCCCGTTTTCACCAACAGCCCCTAAACAGTCACCTTAGTAAGGGCCACTTAACTTAGGGGACCGTTCAAATCATCCCGTAACTTAAATTTTGTTTCACTGTCCTAAGTGTCACCTAACTAAGAGCCCCCTAATTAGGTGACGTTTAGTGTTGAGGAACTATGCAAACAGTTATCGATAAATGAATCGATTAGACAATTCTATTGTTATTTTCGTAAATATACAACCTTAAAACAAGTAATTAACTTTTCTAACTTCAATTTATTTCGAAAAGAAGAGTCTTGAACTGGTGAATGTTAGATTAGTAACAAAAAGTTGTGTTTTTATTTTTTGGCTGTATGTTGAATGCCATAGCTTACAAAGACGCGGTGCCGGTGACATTTTGATGCCACTATCAGGTGACAGTTTCATTTCAATCATTTCGTGTATTTTCAAAAAATACCAAATTTTTATTAATTACAATGGCAGAAAAGAGGAAACGTGGTCAAAATTTTTCACTTGAAGATAAAGAATGTTGTTTATCCTGGCTAGCGAGTCACCACATCAGTTATTAATAATTTTGCAGTACTTATTGTTTGCATATTAATAGACATACTGCTTTTTCTATTCCAGAATAGTTCGGCATCATCTCCTCCTATAATTTATCACATGAATAAATGTAAAGAAGGTTTCTAGTTAATACAATTAAAAGACTTTTGAATATCATTAATAGAGACATCATAGAAAGACGATAGGTGTGCGAACGACGGTATTCGCTGGAGGCTCAATAAATATGACACAAAGATCTGCCGTATCTGTATGTGTGCGTGTCTATCCATCTTATTAAATCATGTATTATTTCATAGGAGATTCAGTAATAAATGGTTACTCGTAAGGACCTGTGTTTCTCTAAACGCCCAACCTTATAATTGAATTTTTATGTGTGTACAGTCTATACATCCTAAAACATTTGGAAATCGAGCTATTCTGTAAAAATCTTCTTTTACTATTTGTTGGTTTTCTTCGGTGTCTGGAAATTGTATGAATTCGCTTTGCCACGACCCACGATAGCGTCAGACACTCTTTTTATAATTCTACTGCAAGTAGATACACTGATGGGATTGAGGTCTGCTACAGATAATAATTGATTGCCTGTTGCATAAAATCTAAGGCCACACAGTAATTGGTTAATCGGTGCCACAGGTTTCTTTCTTTAAATACAAGTAAGGTTGAGCAGGGAACCCACCGGGGATTCGCCACGCAGCGGATTCGCCACGCAGCCGCCGAGGAAACAAGTCTCCAGGAGAAACAAATACCTCACCGCTCGGACCGCAAAAAGTGAAGACTACCCGAAGCTCGGTCGCGGTCGGCTCGTCCACCCCAGCGCGTGCTCAGCCGTTGGCCCGATCACGCGAGGCCCTCCGTCGCGCCCGGTGCCCGGTCAGCCACCAGCGGCTAGCCCCGGGTACCGGCTCGGCGGGTCCCCCGCGCGGGTCTGCGACTGACACGTCGCACTAGCCGCCGCCGATAACAAAGCTACGTAAGCTACGTACTACAACTACCCGCCACTACGCAGCACAAGTCCTGCTGACGCACCCGGTGCACAGCTTGCCAGCAAGTGGCAGCCACCGGCAACAATCATGCCTCACGGAAGTGGGGCACCGTCGCCTTCACCACCGCGCCCCTCCTCCAAACCCAACCGGGACCGGAAGGAACAGGGGCGCGTGTCCAAGAACCACAGGCCCACGCAGCGCGTCAACATACGGGCTGCAGTGCAGCGATGGTCCGAGGCGCCCGAGGACGCATCGATGTCGCGCACGGCCTCCGGAAGCCTGGGAGCGGGGGAGGAATTCTTCCCCCCGCCCACCTCGACCCCCGACACCCCGGCGTCGCCCTCGCCGCCGCCACATACGGCCCCACCTTCGTGGACCGCACCGGCGAGAACCGCGAGCGCGCCAGAGCCTATGGACGTGGCACCCCCACGCCCCACCACCGCGGCTCGTGACATGGGTGTCACACACCCAACCGCCGCAACGTCCGCAACCCCTCGGCCTACTCCAAGGTCCCCGTTGAGGACCGCGCTGGCGCAGCCTGCCGACGCTACGGCCAAAGCTGCACGCGCCCACGCCACCACCTCAACCTCGGCTTCGAAAACGAGCCACAAACCGCCGTCGGGGTCGAAGACTTCAACAGCTCCGCCGCGCTCGAAGAGGCCCCACCAGCCCGCGACCTGCGCCTACTCAGCCCGCGCCCCCAAGCGCTGCGCCCCCGCGCGCCGCACCTGTTTTGCCTGCGCCCCCGGACAACAGCATGCCGGGACGCTTTCCCTCGCCGACCAAGGAGCCGGCGGGCAAGCGGCAGGCCATCTACACCTCGCCGCCCTTCCGCCCGCCCCCCCTCCTGCCACCATTCGCGCCGCCCCAGCAAGTGGCCGCGCCAAAGGCGACGTACGCAGCCGCTGCGTCGCCCACCGCCACCGGCACACGCGCCCCCACACCTGCAACGGCCGGCGCCACCGCGCCGAAGACTCCTGCCGCCGGCAACATCGGCGCCCCCGCACCCACGCCGACAACCGCCGCCGCACCCGCGCCGACAAGCGCCCCCGCGCCCGCGCCGTCCAGCGCCCCCGCCCCCAGGGCGCGTTACCCACCACTCATCGTGGAGAAACTCCCCAACTGGGTCGAGCACTTCGCGGCGCTGCGGCAGCGGCTGGGACACGCGCCCAACGCGCGCCCCTTCGGCAAAGGAATGCGCTTCACGCCACGCTCCGACGTGGAGTATAGGAGTATCCAGGCCTACCTCACAGACCTGGAGAGGACCCAGGGGATAGCCTGGTTCTCCTACTCCCTACCAGCGGAGCGAAGCCTGAAGGTGGCCATCAGAGGGCTGCCTGCGGAGACGCCAGTGGACGCCATTCAAGAGGCTCTGCGCGACTGCGGCTACAACGCCGAGTACGTCCGCCCCATCCGTGCGCGCCAGGGACGACCTGGGTGTCTTTTCTACGCCCAGGTGGCGCGCACCGAAGACACCATCCCGGGCATCTACGGAGTAACGGAGTTGCTCTGCATGCCCGGGATCAAGATCGAGGCATGGCGGGGCAAGAAGGGCCCTGCGCAGTGCCACCGCTGCCAACAGTTCCGGCACTCGTCGCATAACTGCCACCGGCCCATAGCCTGTGTGCGATGCGGCGAGGCGCACCCGGCCAGTGAGTGCCCCCGCCCCAAGGAAGAGCCGCCGACCTGCGCGAACTGCGGAGGCGCCCACACGGCGAACAACTCATCGTGCCCGGTGTTCCGCCGCGAGACGCGCAACCCGAAGGCGGGCACAGTAGCGCGCACCACCGCCACCACCACTTCGAAGCCAGCTGCGGCACAGCCAAAGGGTGAGTCTGACGCCCCTGGCTCCCTCATGGCCGCAGCCAACGAGCCGGGCAGCAAGCGCCGCACAAGGCGCAGGCGCAGGAAGGCGAAGCAGGCGCCCCCTGCCGCCACCACCGCCGCCGCCGCCGCCCCCGCTCCCGCCACAACCGCCGCCCCCGTCGTCGCCCGCTCCGTGACGCACACCACCGCCGCCAAAGCGCCTGCCTCCGCTAAAGCGCCTGCCGCCGCTAAAGCGCCTGTCGCCGCCGCAACCAAGGCGAAACGGCAAGCCCCGCCGAGACCTCCGCCACAGGTACTCACCATTAACGACGTCGTCCGAATCCTGCAAGGGATCGTGACGGCGCTCGTCACCCAGCGGAGCGATCCAGTGCCGCTGCTCCTAGACGCGATCAAGTCCCTCGTTTGCGATGGACCAGCGGCACCTTAGGATCATACACTGGAACGCCAACGGGATGTCCCCAGAGAAGACCAGGCTACTGAAGCTGCTACTAGACCAACGGCAAGCCGATGTAGCCCTGATCAACGAGACGCACCTCAAACCAGTGGACAAGCTGAAGATGGCTGGCTTCTATGTCTACCGGGAGGACCACATCTCGCCGTCAGGGATTGCCTACAGAGGGCTGGCAATCCTGGTCAGGAGAAGAATCGTCCACCAGCTACTGCCGGTGCCAACGCTGCGCGCGTCCTACGCGCTGGGCGTGGAGATCTGCATCAACCAACAGCCGACCCGGGTGTTCGCGTTCTACAGGCCGCCACACTACCGCCTCGCAGTGAGCGACGTCCACACCCTGCTGGACTCGCCGCTGCCCACCATCATCGCTGGCGACTTCAACCTGAAGCACACAGCGTGGAACGCGAACACCAACACCAGAGAAGGCAGCCGCCTGCTCGACGATGCAGAGCTCCACAACTACGTGGTGCTGGGCCCGGAGGCCCCGACGCACTACCCAGGCCACCGGCAGCTGATGCCCGACGTCATCGACCTGGCCGTCCTGCGAGGCATCACCGCAACGGTCAGCTGTGACGTCCTGGACGATCATCTCCGGTCAGACCACCAGCCAGTGAGTCTGACTATCGAGGACATCCCACAACGCCTGCGACCCCTACCCTCTCGCCCACGGCGGGACTGGCGCACCTTCGCCGCACACATGGCGCAGAACTCACCGTCCTACCGGGTCGACACGCCGGCAGACGTCGACCGCCTCGCCGCCGACTTCACCACGGCCACCCAGGCCGCACTCGCCGAGGCTCAACTGTCAAACGTGTCGACACCGAGGAGGCCAGCACCTCTCCCAGCCGCTATACTCGCCATGATCGAGAGGAAGAGGAGACTCCGCAGGCAATGGCAAAGGACCCGATGCCCGACCATGAAGAACGTGCTCAACGCTCTGGCAGCGAGAATCTCGTCCGCCGTGGCCAACCACGCGGCCGAGTCGTGGCAACGCGCCATCGAGCACGTGAGCGACGACTGGTCGGGCATACACCGATTGTGCCGCAATCTCTCCGGGAAGCCGGCCCCGATCAGACCCCTCCTGGCCGGTGACAACACACCCCGTTACCGAGCCGAGGACCGAGCGGAGCTCTTCGCCGACTCCCTGGAGAGACAGTTCCAGCCCAACCCAGCCCGCAACGTGCAACACACAGCAGCCGTCGAGCTTCAGGTAGCGCAGTACCTGGAGCAGCCGATCTCCCCCGAAGAGGACCCAGTCGTGCTCTCCCCTGGCCTGGTGCGGCGTATGGCTCTGCGAGCCCCACTACGCAAGGCACCCGGTCCGGACGGCATCCCCAACGAGGCCCTTCGCCGCCTACCGCCGCGAGGAATCGCGACCCTGACGCGGCTGTTCAATGGGATCCTCCGCACCGGACACTTCCCTTCCAAGTGGAAGCTCGGCAGAGTAATCATGCTGCCCAAACAGGGGAAGAACACGCTGCTGCCGGGGAGCTATCGCCCCATCACGCTCCTGGACACCGTCTCGAAGCTCTTCGAGAAGCTGCTGCTGTTGCACCTGCGACCCCACCTCCAGCCACGCGTCGAACAGTTCGGCTTCAGGGCCGAACACTCCACCACCCTGCAAGTCGCGAGGGTACTGCACGACCTGGCGGCCGCGCGTAACAAGCGTGAGCGCGCCGCGGCAGTATTCCTCGACATGGAGAGGGCCTTCGACCGCGTCTGGCATGCCGGCCTGCTCAGCAAGCTGGCCACATCTACTACTCCTCGACGACTAGTCAAGATCGTGGCCACCTTCCTGCACGGCAGAACCTTCCAAGTGGCAGTGGAAGGCGCCCTGTCGACCGAGCGGACCATCAGAGCCGGCGTGCCCCAGGGAAGCTGCATCTCTCCCGTGTGCTACTGCGTGTACACGGACGACATCCCCGTCGTGGACGGCGTCAAACTCGCCCTGTACGCCGACGACGCCGCCTACTACACGACGTCGCTGAATCCCAGGCACGCAGTAGTCAAACTACAGCGCGCCCTAGATGCACTCCCTGAATGGCTGGAGAAGTGGAGACTGGCTGTGAACGTGGCCAAGACACAAGCACTCGCCGTGGGGATCATGAAGCCGACACCCATAACGCTGATGGGTGAGCAGGTCCAGTGGGCGCCGAGCGTTAAATACCTCGGCGTCAAGATCGACCGCTCGCTCTCGATGACGCCCCACGTGCTGCAGGCTGCTGCTCAGGCGCGCGCCGCGCGTCACCTCCTGCGCCCGGTGCTCAACTCGGCGCTGCCGCTCCGTGCGAAGCTCGGCATCTACAAGGCCTACATTCGGACACGGCTCACCTACGCCGCCCCGGCATGGTACGCGCTCGTGTCCGAATCAAACAAGAAACGCCTCCGTGCGCAGCAGTCGCTGACGCTGCGCACCATCGTCAACGCCCCGCGCTTCGTACGGAACGCGACCATCGCCCGAGACCTCGGCGTAGAGAGCATCGACGCCTTCGTGCAGCGCCTGAGCACATCAATGTTCGACCGCTCCGATCGGTCGCGGCACGACCACCTCCGGGAGCTGGCGCCATACCACCGGCGCCCCCCTGACGGCCTCGGCCTCCCGCGAGACCTGGTCGCACCGACCGACCCATCGGACGCCGCGTGAGTCTCCCGCCCGCCCGCGTCAGGCCGGCTGGTAGAGACTCCGCCCACACCGGACTCGACCACGCGCCGCTGACAGCTCGCTGCTCGCCGGGCTCGCCCAGGCTCGAGCGCGGCTCCTAGCGGCGCCAACCACTGGACACGACCGCGCGCCGTCAACAGCTTGCTGCTCGCCGGGCTTGCCCAGGCTCGAGCGCGGCTCATGACGGCGCCACCCACATGACACGACCACATCGGGCCCCGCAAGAGGCCCGACTATTCCAAGGACCTCGCCTGCTGTTGCAGGCAGCGAGCGATACCGCCGAGACAGGCATCGGCCTGGATCGCGCGACCTCACGCCCCCAGCCGGGGACGGTGAGAAGACCCGAACGACAGGGAACCTGTATCTTATGAAAAAGTCTTTTTCATCATATATTTCAAAATCTTTCGATCTTTCACGATAAATACGAGGTCGTCTATACAAATGTCGGTTACTTAACAATTCCATATCTTCAATTGCTTAAAATCTTCAAATAAATAGTGGTATTTATCCATTTTTTTTATTTTGTATCTTATTCAGTAGGATAAAATACTGTTTGGTGATTCGCAAAATAACCTGACACTATGTGTCACTTAAACGTTACGGGGTCGTCAATTCATCCCCTAAATTATAAGGAACCCCTAATGATATAGGTGACACTTAAACGTTGGTGAAAACAAAACTTGCGATAAGTGTCCCTTATATTGGCTTAAGAGACACTTAAATTTTAGGGGCTGTTGGTGAAAACGGGCATTAGCCATTTGGGTGACAATGACAGCTAGATTGTCAAATTTATATTTTGGAGGTTGATTTCCAAATGTAACGAATTTTCCAGAAAAGCTTATTCACTGATATCACGTCTGGGTTGTTCAATTTGATATTTTTAGATTTATAATAATTTTGTTTCACATAGGAGTTTGAGGTGACGCAATGCGTAGTTGTAAATTGCATCACGATGTTCATGTTGGTACGTAGGTCAAGAATTTAGTATCGTCATAAAGTTAAATGAGCAACAACCCAGTCATGTTAAGGTCTCTGACAATATTTTGTTTGTTTTCGTTATTTAAATACGTTAAGTCTATAAAGTTAGGTAGGTACTCGATCATGTAATACAAGTTGTAATTTCTTAAACCTCAATAGATATACTATAAATAACATATTATGTTCCTAGGTACTTAAAACTAATTATTTATTATACACTATACTAAATTATACCTTTGCCATGTAATGGCAGAAATAAAAAATAAAAATAACTGGCCTCTATGCAAATAAAAATTAAGAACTTACACAATGGTGGTGCGGCTTGTTGGGGCGCGCTGGCTGGCTGGATAGCAGCAGCTTGCGTCACTACCGGCGGCTGCGTCATGGCTGCGAGCGCAGCTAGATTCTGCACTGACACAGGGGCTAAAAGACCCCCAAGTTGATCAGCCGCACCCCCACCTAAAGATCCCACTCCGCTGACGGTGCTCCCACTCAGGCCTGCACCATTGAAACCAATATCCTGGTAGTTTACGCCTATGTGACAACAAAAAAGGGGAGCGTAAATAAATAAAAATAGGACAAAAATAAAAGGCGGGAGAAAGGAAAGGTGTTGCCATTATTAATATTAAATTCACTAATTCAGTTCATAATATTATGAAATAGTATAACATTTTTTAAAAAAGGCAACACCAAGGATGTGTTAAAATGAGGTTGAAAGGAAACAAAACATAAAAACGAGTGTATCACTAATTAAACAATGTTCATTTGGTTAAATGAATCATTAAAACACTGCGTCACGGCTTGATAAGCCGAAACCAGCTCATCCAACGGTCTTGTTGACACTTTGTAGTATAAAGTAATATTATATTGATGTTATTTCATTTGGACATGTGATGCACTTCATTATGATGACATTAGATTTTAGAACTTTCATAATCGTTTTTACATATAACAAAAAAAACCAAGAGGGAGCTCATAAAAAACATGGGAGATTTGATGTTATCTATGGTATCATAAACGTCACAATCAAGTCATAACAATGATTAATTGTTTGATAAATATTTTACTTTCCTGTTTAATATCCTAACATCAAATAAAAGTTACAAATTCCTCATTTGGTAAATGTTTTTAGCGAGAAACTTTGAAGGTACATTACAGATTTTAATAGAAAAAATGTTAAAATACAGACATTATTACAAAAATAGACAGTTTTGAAAAAGCATCTACAACCGAAAAAAGCGTTTGAGACCTACGTAAGAATTAAAAATTATTCGTAAAAAAGATGTTATATTATTTGCTAAGGATCTTACCTTGCAGCAGCGTGGATCCTTGGCCTTGTAGTAGTTGTTGTTGCAATCCAACAGCTTGCAGTTGCTGCAGTAATTGCAGTTGCGTCGCGGGCGACAGTGCTGCCTCCGACGCGAGGTAAGTTGCAGGGGCTATGGGTGCCGTCAGCCCCCAAAGGCTCGCCTGCATGGCTTGCAATTTCTTTTGTTCCTTTTCCTTCTGCGTGTCAGCGAATTTCACGACTAACGGCGCTGAACAACCTTCCATGGTTTGACTGTGGTGTAAAGCCTGAAATACATTATTTATATATTTTTTTGAAAACAACTCGTACGCTTTTATTCATGAGACGCTAATGCTATATAGAAAGCCGGTGAAGTGCGCGATGCAGTCGCGTTGAAGGGCTCCATGTTGAATACGAAACTATTTCATCTATGGAACTTGAAAAGTAAATTACTAATGCCACTATTTTGATTATACGATATTTTATATTATACGGCAAAAGGTAACATAAGGTTTACAAGGAACTGGTAAAAAAACGGAAAGCCACCTAGCGCAACTGTTGCATCTTTTTAAATAAAAACCACGTACATATGTACAGCTAATTGCATGAAAACAAGAATGTTATTTACCTTAATAGCGGCGATGGCGGCCTGTTTCGACACAAATGTGACAAACGCGCAGCCTTTACTCTGGCCCTGTGCGTCACGCAGCACGGTGCACTCCTCGATGGCTCCGTGCCCAGCAAACAATGCCCTCACATCGTTCTCAGACAACTTCTTGTTCAACATGCCCACGAATAGCTTGCGTTCTGTTGGCAAATAGAAAAAATACACGTTAGTTATGGCTGATAATGGAAGATTGCAAAAGTACTTTTATTATATATAACTCCGTATTAAAAAGTACCTAGGTACATCTAAAGTATAAATTTTTAACATCAAATAACAAAACAAGACTCGCAGAAATAATATGCGAGTTTGTGAAAACCGTAATAAATTTACCATTGACAAAATCAAATTGTATTATAAAAGTTGCCATACTCGTTTAAGAAATAGACATAAGCAACGGTCAACATTTAATAAAGATAACCTCCAAAAACATCCAAGTAGTCACGTCAGTAAGTTAAGCGTTTAACCTTAATCTGTTAAAAATTACCTATTCAGTGACGACACACATTAAGTGCTAAATAATGTTCAGCTATTATCATGGAGACTATTATCGAAATGTTGTTTAAGTAACTGAGGAAACATTAAATGAAACTTGAGGCCTTTTGTTTCTACACCAGAAAGCCCAATAGATAAATAGATCTTATTAGGTGTATACTCTAATGCGCTGTAGCCTTTGTAATGTGTTACAAACTCTCTCTTAAAATTCAAACGTTATTTTCCTAGTGATAGCAACGGCAAATAAAAAAGAGCAATGAAAACTAAACGAACAAAATCTCTATTGTCGGACGCATATCACGTTCGAATTTGCATCGCACAATATCGAAGTGCATTGTCGTACACATGAGCGTATCGTTAGAAATCCAGGCGTGATCCTGAAATATGTACTCTTTGAACCTTCCCAGCTCGGCGGCGGAGGGGTTAACTCGGAAATTTACGACATTCGACCTCGTATAGTGTCGGTCATAAAGCATTTTCCGTTTCGATGCATACGAATTTTTGATGCCGTTAAATCTTCCGAGATCCTGACAAGTGTATTAGCAGAGAAGTAACGGTGGCTACTGGGGTTCTGACCTAGATTTGAAGTTTAACTATGTATTAACACGTTGCGGTAGTCCGAGCTTTGTCGCATTTCGGAATTAGCACCCGCAGAATATAGAGTACAGGATAAAGACGGTATACACACATTGAAACAACACCAATTACAAGACTTAAGCCGATAGCCTTTAACCCATAACGATCCCAACAAACGATTACAAGAGATAAACCATAATCCGAGCTTATCAAGTGGATCAATGACCGGGCACCGGTGTGGCCGCTGTCTATACCTGACTTAATCCATTACTTACTACACTCAACTTGGAACGACACCCACGGGAAAAGGGCTTATCCTTTACTAAAGCAAACAAAATATTTGAACAAGTTGGAAAAGCGCGTAGCTTTTGTGAGACGGGTTGAACTGACAGCCAACACAGAAAGGCTAATCATCACGAAAAACTGGTACAAATTATGCACTACTGCATTTCACTGTTGTGTGTCGAGCCCGCCAAAATCAGGCCGAAAAAATGAGCATAAAAACGAGGTCAGAAGGAGCGACGATTAAAAAATGCAAATACACGTCAACGTTTGCACAGACAGACGTGAAATTTTCAACGTCAAAGGAGTGCGGTACACAATGCACGGTGTAGGGGAGTATTACGCGTAAAATCCAACATTTGGGGGACTCTCAATCCCCCAGTGAGGCAGGTGAGAGGCGAAATTGAAAAGGCGCCGAGACTGTTCAGTTTTTAGTAGGAAACGAGCGAGGAATGAACCATGTCGCTGGACTTTAGCGAGGAATGATTCTGGAACATGTTGTAATTTTATATACAATTATTATAATGTGAATTTGAATAGAAGAACATCAGTAATCTTGGATTTTTACCTTAACATTTTGTTTCACTTCAAGAAAATTAAAGCGACATAAAACCAGTAATAATTGAGCGAGCAAGAAATGTCTCCATTCTCCATACATCTCGGTACAAAGACGCACCCACGGCTCGTTCAGGTAACAAATATTTCATGTCCTTCGAATCAGCGTTATTTGTACCAAGATTAGCATTGAAATTTAGCGAGATAACGAAACTGGAAATCGCGAGATCTTCGACGATAATGCAATACCGTGTAACCATACATTTTTGATGCCAAGTCGATTTTGGCAGGGTAAGATTGAGTGCGCCTCGCCCCTTGGTGAACTGCGAAGAAAATTTAAATTCTATTCTAACTGTAAAATATGTACTGTCAGTTGCTTAAAAATAATGCTCGTGGCAATCGATTGAAAATGTTTCAATGTACAGAATATTCTATCATGAAAATAGCTGTAGGGAAAAGGCTGGTTTGTTACATTGCAAAGTTATAACCTAGAGCTTCAGACATTTTAAATGTGTAATGATTTGCTCTCAGACATTCGTACTGTATCAGATCTTTTTTCAATTTACAGGAGTAGCAATAATTAATTAACGCAATAGGCTTATTTCTTAAGTATAGGCTTTGCACTTCCATATTCCACCAAAGTAAAATGATAATATGAAAACAATAATTATGTAAACCTTATATTAAACAATAATCACAACATTTTCCCCTAATTTTCAGTTTCCGAATAATTCTGTACGTACGTGGAAACTCTATGTACGAAATTCCACATGTTTCTGTTAATACCTGCCGCTTTCCACCCCATTCAATGCGAGTTCGGATTTAATATTAATATATACCTACGCGGGAATTATTTCACGACGGCTCGGTATGAAGTTGTTGGCAATAATATTCAATTTAATTTCGAAATGTTTTGACTATAGTATCTACCCACGTATTTATGAGCATCAAAGAATATTCGGTGGGTGTGTTATGAAGACTGTCTCTGCGAACGAAATGTTTTGCTAAAGTTCTCGTAATTGGGCTACTAATTAAAGGTAAATGTACCTACTCTCTATTTGGAAGATAATATTAACGAGACTTCGGCGTTTTGGTTAAATACCACAAAGTTTTGTAAGCATTCCAAAAAAAGCTAGTTTCAAATGTTTACGTACACAACTACTCGTTTAAAGCAAGCGTTAGTTACTGGGACAGAAGAAGGCGAGCGAAACAAACGTCCAGTAAAAACAAAACAACAAACAAAACTATGCTCCTAGGTACAACTTACAATTGAAACAAACTCCAACTAAACGAGAGAGTCAAACTAATTAGAATAATTTAAAGTGAATCTTTAAGTCGGGAGTAATCTGTTTGAATGCACAAGTAATTGTGTACTTTTAGCAAATAAGGTTTTAAAATGTTAATGGTGTAAGTGCACCATCGAGCCGGTAACGGCAACCTTCGTTAAACAATTTACATAACCTCTCGAGGCTCGGGGGGTGGCAGAGAACCCAAGGCACCTGCGCGGTCCGCCTTCACTTTTATAGTCGCACGGTGGATTCTTTCCCGTTTACGACTTTTTGGGTAATAAATCAAAAGGTTGAACTCGAACCAAGAACGAAGATTTCTGTCGTGAATTAAATTTCGAGTGTAAATTTGTTTCTGCGAATCAATGTATAATATTCTTAATGTTATTATGTTTTCCTAGAAAAAAGATGTTAACGGAGTTCCCTTTTAATATTTCAGAATTAATTATTTTACATAACTTTACCTATACTTCTTCATTCCTAAGGGTAAGCAAAGTTCAGCCGGGAATGCGGGTCAAGCGCATTATGTAACGCGGCTCCTTTATCTGTTTCCCTTTCAACAAAATCACTATACAAAAGCAACCCATACCGCATCGATTCTTCAAACACGACATTGAAATCGAAATTCTTGTAAATCGGTCAGCAATTATATGAGTAATGATACCCGCTCATAGACAGAGGACATCTTTACAATTATAGGTACATGTGACTTTAATGGTCTTTAACTGACAGTTTAGTGTTAAAATGTAACATTTTATTGTTGTTCTGTCCACATCAGGTTTGACCTTGAGCTTGAAGAGTTTGCTACCTAGGACGTGGCTAGTCATTAGTTTCTGTCTTGCATAATGAGATGTAGTCAAGGTGAGGTCTTTTCAATAATTGTGCCCCAAATTTTCTATTCTTATATACATCTGCGTGGTCATCTGATTTTGTTTAAAGAAACTAGGTATTAGAACACTTTTTTTTGAAAATTATGACCAATAAATAAGCTAATAACTACCTGAAATTTCAGCAAAAATTTTCTGAGTTCTATAGGTACCATATCACAGTAATTTAAACTCAAATACCAACAATGTAAAAGGTCAAAATAGCTTGATCCAGATGAACAAACAAATCATTCCATTTAATTGAAATAAAACCGGAATGAATTAATAAAAATAATTTAATTAATTAAATAAGCTATAAGGCAGTTAATTATTTATTGATAAGTCGTCCTATTAAAGCACAATAGTGAATAATAAATACGTATTGTTTCTCTGTTCGATTCTTGTTAGCTACTTGTAATATACATTGTATACCTAAATATGTACTTATTTAATTCATTAACATTTTTCTTACATAGAATCGAAGTATGAGGTTGTCTTTTTAAGTGTTCGAAGTTTATAAGAATTCATCGACCTAAACTCTACTTGTTTCAAGTCACAACGGGTCTCTTAATTATGGACAGCGTGTGCGTAGCGACGACGCGACATCGCGCATCCGTTGCATTGTCGGCTTTCGATAACTAGTAGAGCTGTTAATTAATGTAAGAAAGTCGTTATTTTCAAAAATTCTGTATGTATCGTATGTTTATGTACTATCCAAAAATTGTTCGAAGGTAATACTGGTCAGATAAACTATTTTATGTCATAAAAATAAGTAAATGTTAAATACATTCTTCACCAACTTAGATTTACATTTTTCCCGAATTGGATTTATAAAATGTGAACTTCTTTCACAATGTTCAAACTATGTATTGGGGATTGACGTCTATTACAAGTAAGGAAAGTGAGGGAAGTTAATAGATTTATAGTTAATAAACTACAAAACATACTTTAAAGAAAGGAATCTCTAAATATTTCTAAGAAAAAGACAACTGAACTTCTTGCCATAACCTCTTTAGGTCGCGAACTAAGGGATAATCTAAAAGCTAAGATCCCTGGGTCACTATCAACAATCCCCTACCACGG